TTGGACCAAATCTTATTCCTGATTCGTTTTTAACACGTCAAAATTAGTGTCTTTCGAGTTTTTCAGATGCGTAGGACGCTCGGGGAGAAAAAATATTTTTCGACCTGGACTAACCTATATCATCATGAATTGCAATTTTTGAAAATTTTAACGAAAAGTCTTGGACCAAATCTTATTCCTGATTCGTTTTTAACACGTCAAAATTAGTGTCTTTCGAGTTTTTCAGATGCGTAGGACGCTCGGGGAGAAAAAATATTTTTCGACCTGAACTGACCTATATCATCATGAATTGCATATTTTGAAAATTTCAACGAAGAGTCTTGGACCAAATCTAATTCCTGATTCGTGTTTAACATGTCAAAATTAGTGTCTTTGGAGTTTTTCAGATGTGTAGGACGCTCGGGGAGAAAAAATATTTTTCGACCTGGACTAACCTATATCATCATGAATTGCTATTTTTGAAAATTTTAACGAAAAGTCTTGGACCAAATCTTATTCCTGATTCGTTTTTAACACGTCAAAATTAGTGTCTTTGGAGTTTTTCAGATGTGTAGGACGCTCGGGGAGAAAAAATATTTTTCGACCTGAACTAACCTATATCATCATGAATTGCAATTTTTGAAAATTTTAACGAAGAGTCTTGGACCAAATCTAATTCCTGATTCGTTTTTAACATGTCAAAATTAGTGTCTTTGGTGTTTTTCAGATGTGTAGGACGCTCGGGGAGAAAAAATATTTTTCGACCTGGACTAACCTATATCATCATGAATTGCTATTTTTGAAAATTTTAACGAAGAGTCTTGGACCAAATCTAATTCCTGATTCGTTTTTAACATGTCAAAATTAGTGTCTTTGGAGTTTTTCAGATGTGTAGGACGCTCGGGGAGAAAAAATATTTTTCGACCTGAACTAACCTATATCATCATGAATTGCAATTTTTGAAAATTTTAACGAAGAGTCTTGGACCGAATCTAATTCCTGATTCGTTTTTAACATGTCAAAATTAGTGTCTTTGGAGTTTTTCAGATGTGTAGGACGCTCGGGGAGAAAAAATATTTTTCGACCTGGACTAACCTATATCATCATGAATTGCTATTTTTGAAAATTTTAACGAAAAGTCTTGGACCAAATCTTATTCCTGATTCGTTTTTAATACGTCAAAATTAGTGTCTTTGGAGTTTTTCAGATGCGTAGGACGCTCGGGGAGAAAAAATATTTTTTCTGTGACGGGAAAAAAGTTTGGCATTTCATCTCTGTTGGCAGGTTATAAAATGCCACTTTTCATAAATTACTTTTTTCCCGTGGGAAAAAAGTGAGTACTTTTTTCCCGGATATATATCACATATATATACTCTGTTAATGGCTTTTGTTGTGCTATAGTTCCGAAAAATGAGTCAATTATACCGTCTCCGAGAAAGAACTGCAAGTCCTTTTATCTTCCATTCGACTTCGCGGTTTCGTATATTACTAAACAACTACTGAATTCGCAATTTTTCAAAATCAAATCACATAATTGAACTGACAGAAGTGACATCAGATATTTGATTACTTCAAAAAAATGATGAAGATGCCTATAAAACGCAGGTGTCCCTACTGTTAAAAACTTGAAATTTCACGTCGATAATTTTCAGATTTCGAAATAATGTAATATCTTCTCAATATTGATTCGTCCTTCCTTCTGTCACAGAAAAAAATAGTGTATTATACACGGGAAAAATATTAGATTTTAGCTCACGGTTTTTTGTCTCCCTCCGCTACGCGTCGGGAGACAACACAACCTGGAGCTAAAATCTACTACTTTTTTCCCTTGTATAATAAATAACTATTTTCGACCTGAATTAACCTATATCATCATGAATTGCAATTTTTGAAAATTTTAACGAAGAGTCTTGGACCAAATCTAATTCCTGATTCGTTTTTAACATGTCAAAATTAGTGTCTTTGGAGTTTTTCAGATGTGTAGGACGCTCGGGGAGAAAAAATATTTTTCGACCTGGACTAACCTATATCATCATGAATTGCTATTTTTGAAAATTTTAACGAAAAGTCTTCGACCAAATCTTATTCCTGATTCGTTTTTAACACGTCAAAATTAGTGTCTTTGGAGTTTTTCAGATGCGTAGGACGCTCGGGGAGAAAAAATATTTTTCGACCTGAACTAACCTATATTGTGTTGATCCACCCCTGTATAAGGGAGATGTTGTCAGATTATATACCGAGCGGCTGGTATGTTTATACAGGGTGTAGAATCTACAGCAGATATTAAATTGTGTGGGTTCGGACTATGATGGTGGCAGAATGCAGGAGAAAAAACAAATAGATATTCAATATACTATAATCAATGAAATAGACTACATTCATGATCAGAATCCTAACAATTTCAAATATCCAGAAAACTCAAACTTCTGATGTCTATTCACTTATATCTCAAAGTTAAGAAAATATCTAAAAACTCAAATGATCACTCTATATAAATTCATAAAATCAAAGATAATCAATATACAATCAATAATCGTGAACCAGTATTGATTCACCATAGATTTTCCTACAATGAAAACTCTCAACTCAACGTTAATATTCTCCAAAACAACAAATAAACTGCCCTTTATGAACCTCTTGAAAGAATACACTCAGTTAAAATATCTATATCAAAACTCAACCCTACTTCTACTCTAAGCCCATATACTAATATCTAAGACTTCTCTGATCATCCCTTATTTCAAAACCTCTCATCAAGTTAGAAACTCATACCACTTATTAACAAGCAATCAAAAATATACATAATCATCAGTGTTTGCAAAAACCCTTATACATCTAATTATAAAACAGAATCCTAACCCTTGACACTAATAGGTTGACTGACTAGTTTCTTCAAACTGTCCATTATATGATCGTTAGAAAGTTATGTTGAATGTCAAAAGCACTTTCAGTTCTATAGTCTGTTAAATGTAACCACAAAGACATACCAACTTGCTTGGGAGTTGAAAGAATTGCCATTATCTCTTTCTCACTTGCACTGATTCTAATAACCACTATAGATAGGTACTTCTATGCACTTCGCGATCTATTCTGATTCTATTGGAGCTACATCTTTACTAGTTGACGTCTCGAGAGGTAATGATCAATTGAATTTCCATTTTTTACAATGAAGTGTTTTATAGTCAAAAACAACAAAGCAAGTTACGTCATTCTTGTTATTTGGTTTTAGTTTACTCATGGAAGGGATTTCATAGATTCATATGGCAATAACAATAAATCAAATCATATTCGTTTGTCGGTCCTAATAATTAGCGCATTCTTGGAGATACCAATTTCAAGGTTGATCTAGAGTCATTAAAATAAATATTGAATATCTGAAATTTGCCGACAAAAGATGTTTACTTAACGGGTATGAATTCCATTTACAATATTTCAATATTTTCCTTAGATAGTATTTCGCGGGGCATAACAATATCATCATGAATTGCAATTTTTGAAAATTTCGTTTATTCGTGATTCGTTCACTTACTTACAGTTACTTAAATTTCTGGAGTCCTAGTAGTCAACGGTCTGCCTATCAATGGAGCTTTTTCAAAGGATCTATAGAGTCCCATAAGACGCTGAAAAAGGTTTCTGAATGTTTGGTGATTCGGCAGTCGATGATTTTTCGTTTGTTTGTTAATTTTTTAAATTGGAAGAGTCCAAAAAAGTAGGTATACGAAGAAGTAAGAATGCTGAAAGTAACGATATACCTGTAAGTTTGAGACGAAGTACTCGTGTTTCTAATCCTCCTCAGCGTTTAGGTTTCTAGGTATTTTTCTTATATTATGTAAGGGGGGAAATATTGTGTTGGTACTTATTATCACCCTATATGTAATGTATTGGAATTATTATTATACATAGTAGTCACCTATCTAAAAGATGACATGTTTAGTTTAGTCGGTCTTGTATTGTTTCACCGCTTAAGTTGGTTATTAAACATCTCTGAAGAACCTACAAGTTTTAGTTATTACTCCAGCTACACTGTAGAGAGTTATACACAACAATAAGATACAGGATGTCCAATTAAAAAAATATATAAATGTTGCACAAAAATATTTTTTGAGATGTTCAACTGTTTTTCTGTTGACATATATGAAATCATCTGAAAAAAATATGAAAGAACGTTCCTTGAAAAAAAAAATTGAACAATACATAAAAAAGTTAAGAGAGGTTCAAAATATACGTGAAGACCCTACCGAAGGCATTTTTCATTGATCCAGTTTTTACATTAACATGTGTTACGTTTACTTCTGTACACACTGTATTTCAATATAGTGCGACAGCAAAGCTTCTTATATAAAGAAAACTTTTATTATGAGTATACCTATTCATCATGCTTTCCATATATTACCAAAATTAATTAGAATATTAATCTGTTCGCTCATATCCTTGAAGCTTCTATACTGCAAATCTACGCCAGATATAGCCTCGCTGTTTTCTAAGTATAATCCGACTTATATGACAGTTTTTCTCATAGCACGCTTCTGGTTCAGCACAAAACAGAACTTTTCCATACTGTAGGCACAGGTTTATAGTCGCATTCTCTCATTTTTGCATCTCCTACAGGATTATAGTTGGAAGTAATGAAAAATAAACACAAAGAAGATTAAAGCTTTTCAGATTATCCTGCCGGAGTAACTTCAAATGGAAGATAATTCATGATACCTACCCCAAAACTCGAGGAGAACTTGGGAAATGTTTAAAAAGTTGTTATTCCTTGTTGTTTGCTCGTTATCTATACTATTGTCATTCAATTCATCATACTTTCATCAGTTCTTCTTTTCGAACAATATATATTTTTTGCGAACATAGCTCAACAGGGCTATTTTCAAATGAGCTTCATAATAAATTATTGTAGTCAAATATCATTTTGAGAAATTATAATACATTTTCAGAAAGTAGAGTGGAGTTTGGAGTGATGGAATTTTACTGGAACCGATGATTAAATTCGAAATTTGATTTATTTCATTTCATTTCAGAGCATAATGATGCCACACCAATGGATGGAAGGAAACCTGCCTGTCTCAGCCAAATGTGCTGTTTGTGATAAAAATTGTGGTTCAGTTCTTAGGTATGTATATAATCTTCTACCTATATTTTTCGTCATCTATTTGAAAAGCTAGAGCTTTATTCACTATGACACTTTTGATGAATCCGATATACAGGGTGATTCGCATAAGAACCGACATAGAGCAGGGGCATGTATAGGAGGTCTCAAAATATGGCAATTCAACGCAACTTACCTCTGTACCAAGTTGCTTCCCTAAGGAGTTGTAGGCTTTGAAAGTCAAGTTATAAACTTTGAAAAAAAATCAATATCTCCGTTATTCTTGAACTTGAAGCAACCAAATTTGGTACACTTTGTGGATGTATTTAGGGCGTTACTTGACAGTAACTAGAGCTTAATTGAGATTTGTAAAGGAGGTATACCGGGTGGCGCACCATTATTATTCAACAGAATTTTGTTAACCCTCGATGGATTTCAAAAATCTTTGCTTTGTTGTGTGGGCAATTCAATTCTAACACTTTTCTTACTCTAGTAATTTTTCGAAAAACCTCATCATTTTCATCAAAAACTCGAATAACTGAAAAAGCGCGCTCTAGGTGTGTTATTTTAAATCATCGAAAATTCAAAAGTTGGCTATGAAAATAAACGTATGTACAACAAGAAAGTAGGTCATTATTTGTGATCAGTAGAAATTGGCTGGCAAATTATTATTTAGATACGTAACAAAATACGTAAAGTAAATACAGATACTGCAATGTGAAAAACTCGGATTAACAACTAACCAAAATAAAAACAAAAAAACTCAAACAACAACCAGAACAAACAATTGTTTATCGATAAATTACTTAATTGAACAACTTACTTGCTTCATTCTCAAGTTTGACGTTTATTTTCATAGCCAACTTTTGAATTTTCGATGATTTTAAATAACACACCTAGAGCACGCGTTTTCAGTTATTCGAGTTTTTTATGAAAATGATGAGGTTTTTCGAGAAATAACTAGACTAAGAAAAGTTTTAGAATTGAATTGCCCACAAAACAAAGCAAAGATTTTTGAAATCCATCGAGGGTTAACAAAATTCTGTTGAATATTAATGGTGCGCCACCCGGTATACCCCCTTTACAAATTTCAATTAAACTTTAGTTACTGTCAAGTAACGCCCTAAATACATCCATAAAGGGTACCAAATTTGGTTGCTTTGAGTTCAAGAATAACGGAGATATTGATTTTTTTCAAAATTTAACTTCACTTTCAAAGCCTACAACTCCTTAGGGAAGCAACTTGGTATAGAGGTAAGTTGCATTAAATTGCCATATTTTGGGACCCCCTACATGCCCCTGATCTATGTCGGTTCTTATGTGAATCACCCTGTATATTTACTTTGCCAACACTTTTCCACCTAACACAATAAACACATGAGTTTATGAATACAAAAATGAATGTTTGTGTTCATGTACGACAAATTATGTATTCATTACGTATCTACAATATACCCCATAATTTTAACAAACTCTAAACTAAATCCGATACCGAAATCCCGGAATCGAGTGAATTTGATCCCGGGCGCCCGGGATTGTATTAATACTCCGGGATTGCAAACAAACCCTACTCTGATCGTATTTCGAGACAAGAAATCATAAATGTGCACTATGCAGCGTGATGAAGCTTATTAATTTCATTCCTTGGTGCACCTGAACTTCGGATATACGAGAGTGCTTTTCACAAACTTAGTGTTCAGTTGGCTCAAATTACTTGTCTACCTGTACTAATTACTTACTATACAGGGTGAGGCGCTGGAGACGCATGGTTTTTGAAAATTATTGCTTTCTTGCTTACGGTCCTAGGTAGATTTATCTCAGTCTAACTCATTGTGATATTTAAGGAAAAAAAGTTCGCATAAATATGTGTTCTAACTTGCTTCGCTCTCGTTATACAGGGTATTAATATTTCCATGAAAAATCGTTTTTTTTTATTCATTACTCAGTTGTCTTTTCATCAATTTCAATAAAACGTTGTGGTTTTGTGAAAAGTGATCCTTTCTCTTCATGGCTGCTATCCACATTTCTCTTCTTATTCTTGATAGATTTCTTATCTGTGGATAATGCACAGAGTTTTTCACAGAATCACAGTAGGAATGTGAAGAAACTAAGCAAATTCTCCCGATCTGTACGACTTCCACTATCCACCACAATACACGTTACCCGCATCTTTCATTTAAAATCATATTGAGTTTTCATTATTCACAATGAATCTAACCAAAACTGAATAAAATAATACTCTTGTGGGCAAAAGACGTCGACGATTCATCACCATCCCCTGATATGCCATCCCAATACGTCGATCCAGATCCAGACCTCAACCGGGACTTTCCAAGAGGGCTAAATTAATCTAATTTTTTGATCTTCAATATTACTCTATTTCCTAACAAATAAACTCATTAACATTTGTTGTGCTCATCTTTTTTATTTTATTATTCGTAGCTCAGCTTAAACTTCCTCGTTCACACTCCTCTTTTTTTTTCGTATCATCGCTCATCATGAAAGTACAGCGCTTCGATTGTATAATCAGGGTCAAAATTAAATCAGAACGACAGGATTGCAAAAAATTGCGAAGTTCGAAAACAATTATAAACTTTGAAAGGCTCAATCTCGGAAACTAATGAGTCTACAGAGACAGTTTTCATATCATATTAGGCGTTTTCGGAAACTTACTCGGGTTGATCAGATCCCTAACCTGAACGTTCGGTTACCTACACCGAGTCACCTACCTCTGTTCGGAAACTTGAGTCATGATAACTCGATCACTGAATCGGGTTGATTTTTCGTGACCCTACTCAAAAGCAGGGTCGCTAGAGTCGCAATGGACACCGCATACGCAAAATGTCAATCGAAAAACGCGGGAGTTTACCACTCCACGACAACTACAGTAGTTTGCATGTTGGGAAAAGTTTCGATCGGTGATATAAATTTTCTTGATTTGGTAATGCATAAGTTAGAAAATCTGTGTGGATCTGAAGTTTGTGGTTTTTAAGTTCACCAATCACCAGGTGAATACAAATATTAGTAACCATATCAAATAAGTACTTGAATATAATGTGAACATTTTCGTTAATCAAATTCACGAAACCACAGAAATAATATTTAATTTTGTGTTCCTAACCTGACACGTTCGAAAACGTAGAACACGAGCAGGGGCGCGCCTAGACACTTCGCCGCCCGTGTGCAATATGTTCTGGGCCGCCCTCGAAAAAATTGAAAATGAAACGGATTCTGAAAACTGATATATTTTGAAAACTGAAATGTAACAAATAATATATCTAACTCGTTTTATGATGTCTCAAGAGATGATTTCATTCACGGAACATAACATAAATAAACATAAGTAACATAAAAAATAATTCACAAATAGTAAAATTCATACAAAATTGACATTGATTCATTGACATATCAGGTTCAGGTAATTCTTTGAAAAAACACATAGAGGGGCGATAATATCACAGTGAAAATCATTAAGAAAATATTATTTTTCTCGCTTTCTGCTGAGCAAATTCTTTGATGAGCACGTCAACATCAATTGTTTCTAATAATCCAGATTCGATGGATATTGAAGCAAGGTCAATCAATCTTTCCTGGCTCATTTTAGACCTCAAATAGTTTTTTATTATCTTCAACATAGAAAATGACCTTTCTCCACTAGCAACTGACACCGGTAAAGTTAATAAAATTCGGAGCGCGACTGAAATATTTGGAAAGCTGCTCATTAAGTTGTTTTCATGTATATACTGTAAAATTTGTTGTGGATCATTTTCTATATTTTCATGATAAATCACTTTCAATGATTTTAACTCATTAAATAAATCTGTCCCGTCTATATCTGCTTCCTGGCGAATTTCATTTGTTAACTTTTTTTGCAAATTTTCACAACTTTCGAGTAAATTTGTTTCATCAAAGTCCCTACCAAAAGCTAAGTGAAGAAATCCAAAACATTCATTATAATTTTTGAGAGACTCGAATCCATCAGATGACCGTTAAGGCTGGTGGTCCACAGGATGATAACGGCACGATTTGCCGCGCGCGTTAAATCGTACGCGATATCGCAAAGACAAAATTTTCATACAATCGAATGTAGTCCAAATGGCTAAAAAATCTCGCGACGACATTCAATACTCAGCTACTGCGAAGCGATGGTAGTATATCGCGGAAAATCGTGTCGTTATCGTCCTGACTCCTGGGGGCCATCAGCCTAAGAGAGGTCGTTTGTTCTTATTTGTTCTTCTATTAAGTGTTAAGTCGTTTGTTGATTTTCGATTTACTGAATGGGATTGACATAAGATCTCGTGATTGGCCGCCCCTGAGGGTGGCCGCCCGTGTGCGGTGCACGCAGTTGCCACTGTATAGGCGCGCCCCTGAACACGAGTAGGTGATCCGAGTTTTTTTGTTACGTGACCTCTCTGGATCGAGTTAACAACCCAGAGTGAGTTTCCGAAAACACCTTTTGTAGCAAATTTGGTCTACTTCAAAAACGTTCTTAGAGGGTTTTTTTCCCAAACTACACCTTTTCCAATAGTAATTCAGAAAGCGTCATATGCAATTCAGACAATATCATTTGTAATTCAGATTAGTTAATTGAAATTCAGAAAATATCAAATGTAATTCAGAATTGTCAATTGATATTCAGAATGTGTCATTTGTAATTCAGATTAATCAACTGAAATTCAGAAAGCGTCAGTTAGAATTCAGAAAGCGTCAATTGAAATTCAGAAAGCGTTATTAATAATTCAGAATGTATCATTTGTATTTCAGAATGGGTCAATTGTAATTCAGACTATGTCATTTGTAATTCAGAATAGTTGATTAAAATTCAGAAAGCATCATTTGTAATTCAGATTTAGTCAATTGAATTTTCGAAAATATCAATTGAAATTCAGATTAGTCAATTGAAATTCATATTTTCTGAATTTCAATTGACAAATCTGAATTACAATTGATGTTTTCTGAATTTCACTTGACTAATCTGAATTTCAATTGATTTTTTCTGAAATTCAAGTAACTTATCTGAATTACAAATTACGTAGTCTAAATTACAATTGACGCATTCTGAATTACAAATGACGATATCGGAATTTCAATTGATGCATTCTGAATTTCAATTGGAAAATCTGAATAGCAACTGATATTTTCTAAATTTCAGTTGACGAATCTGTATTACATTTGATATTTTCTGAATTTCAATTGAGTAATCCGAATTACAACTGACGTTTCCTGAATTCCATTTGAGAAATCTGAATTACAATTGACGCTTTCTGAAATACATCTGGAAAAGGTGTAGTCCTTTAGGGTTATAATCGCCAAAAACTGAAGAAAAAACGATTTTTTCGCAGTTTTTTCGATTTTTGACAAAGTTGCGTTCGGGGCTCAAGGTCACAAACTTAGATTATTCATTAGGTCAACATCATGAACAAGTCTGCAAAAAATCAGAACTACCGGATTTGACGCATACTGTGATGTATGAAGTAACTGGATTATGATTGTTCTATTCAGAATTTTTTAATTTTTGTTTCAGATTACAAGACTGGAGATGCCTGTGGTGCAGGGCGACCGTGCACACGCAGTGCAGGCCCGCGCTGGCCTCCTGGTGCCCCCTCGGCCACTCGAGGGTCAGCGTGGTGCCCCCCACGGCGCTGCACTCCATACAGGACGACGCTTGGGAGGCGGTCAGACCGCAGGCCTCCTCCCCCCTTTTAGTATTCGTTAATTCTAAGTCAGGTGGGTGGCATCTTGTTTTTTTCGTGGTTTTGGCAGTGATTTGGTAAACCTGCATTTATCATGCGATGGTTTTTTTTTCGAAAAGTTTTTTTGTCTGAAAAACACGAATTTGATGATGAAAATGTGAACAAACCAGCATTTATCAAGATATTTCACTATGAAGTTACAAATTTCACCTTCTTTTCCGCCTGGCTTCTGTATAACATTTAGAACAATTTATATACATATCATAATGTACGGCCCCTCTTTTTCTATTATTTAGTCAACTAGAAATATGATTTTTTCTGCAACCGACACAAAAGTCGTCCATTTTGATACCAAAATTAGCTCTTAAATTGATGTTTCTATTACTGACACAAAAATAGGTATGTTGCTGGGCAACATATTTAGTTCCTAGGAGCTAAAGTTGAATTTTAGTTCCTAGGAGCTAAAGTTGAACTTTAGTTCCTAGGAACTAAAAAGGATCTACTGGACGTCATCAAGAATAAACAACATTGTGACGGTTGGTTATTTGGGTTTAGACGCATACCTGATTTGTTTCCGGTTTCAGCAGATTTGGCATATCATACCCATGCTGGAGATATAAATACACCTTATTATAGTTTAGTATTGGGATTATAAACATCTCAGTTACGTATTTTTGTTTTGATCAGGAAAGCCTTCAAGATTCAAATACTTGCTTGATGTGTATTTCATTCGTTATTCTCGGGATGGATAACTTGTTTTTGAATAATCAAGGCAAGCAATAGTTTTTCTGTCTCGAACAACGATATTGTTTAGCTTCATTTGATTATCAAGTCGAACACAGTGTAGTATGGAGAGGAATAAATAAACACTATTATCATTGTTGATATTCTCACTAACCTAACATTTTCCACGTCTTGTTCATATAGCTGGCACTGGCGCGGTATTTGCCATTAGAGCACCTAGTCAACACACAAATATGTCACTCTGTGGTTGTATTTATATTGAAACTACAATTCGAACATCCTAGAAAACCTAACCTGCTGTTAATGCAGGTAGAATATTTTCACCACATGGATTATTTGTCAATATTTGTTGCATTGCATACATATGGCACGGCATTGGTGGTTACTTCACATGTTTATTTGAGTTAATTGTTTCGGTTGCAGTGACTTTGTTCGACTCGCAAATTTTGCTTTCGCTCGGCTTTCGCTAAGCGCTCCGCCTCGCGAATGCAAAATTCGCTTGTCAAACAAAGTGTCACTTTTGATCCAAATAAAACAATCTACTATTCTTGTGATTTATCCATATTTAGTGAAATAATGGCGTGTGTAATGTCATTCAAGCAATCTGTTGACATATGACATATCGTATTTGGATTGACTATTGATTAAAAATAATGATGAAGACGGAAAGCCCTAATTTCGAGTGACAATGGAAAATGAAAAAACTCCACCGCCCCGTGTGAGAGTCGAACTCACAACCTCTGACTTACATGCCCAACGCTCTGCCAATTGAGCTAACGGGACATCCGTCGATCAATCGACCGATTGATAAGTTGACATTTGGATTTTTGAAAGTTTGTTTGCAATTATCGCAATAAACTATCGAAAGCAGCAGCGATATCGAGATTGAAAATGTCCAATGTAGCAGATAGTAGGTAATAGTATATTATGTATCAAGTGTTATAAACGTCCTTTTAGTAACGAGTAATTTAAGCACGAGCGGAGCAGAGCGGAGCGAGTGTTTAATGAACGAGTGTCTAGAAGAGTTTATAAACACGTTACATACTATACTTTTTCTACGAACTCCGAAAATTACATGAACATACCCGCTATTCCTGCTAACCTACAAAATAATTCGAAAGGAATGGGAATTGAGAACATAATACATGCAACTACATGCAACCAGCGAGACATATAAAAGTGATATTGGTTGTAGATGTGTCCAGTCCATTGTTTACTAACCTTTGTTTCACGTTTATTCTTATGCTTAGCGCAGAATAAATAAATTGTTCTCAAATATGGATGCCTAATTTTTACACTTCTTGGAGATATGCAAGTACCAGAACATTCTCTTCCATTTCACTTTCGTCTACATTTCGCATATATTTTTAATGAAGAATTCTGATACAAACGAATATTGTTTGAATAATTCTGATACAAAATTTGAAAATAACAGTTGTCAGTTAATACAATTGACAGGCCAGACATGTCTCAAATTACTGAAGCTGTGTTTAATGAACTGTTGTTGCCATGGTAATGTGTTTAAGAAATCGTGTTGCCATGGTAACGTGTTTAATATTTTGAATAAATCACAGATCGTCAATTCGTGATTAATAGATCATTTAGCGTGGTACATATCCGTATGCTAAATGCCATTTTAGTTATGTGAGTAGAAAAAGATATTCTGTTGGAATTTTAGCATTTAATACAAATAAGAATTAATAAAGAAGAAATTGTATTCCACAAAGAAATATAATATGGAAATGTGTCTCATCGGATTGTCATTCTACACATGGTTGCCGAAAAAATGTGTACGCAACACGTCTAAAAACAGTTTTTTTGGACTCGCAGACTTCCAGGACTCGCCTACGGCTCGGACTTGAATTTTGTCTACTCGTTCAAAAAACCGGACTTGTTACGTAAATTACTATTCTGAAGCTATACTTTTCTGTTTGGATGAACGACTAACATTTTTTCGTTGTTGCAGGTGATAACCAGGGTGTGAAGTTCTTGCGAAAGTTCAAGCAACTCCTCAACCCCGCACAAGTTTTTGATCTCATCTCGACCGGTCCACGGGTCGGCTTAAGACTGTTTAGACACTTCGACCCATTCCGAATTTTAGTTTGTAGCGGAGACGGTTCCGTAGGGTGGGTCCTATCCGAAATAGATAAGTTAGACATGCATGTAAGTATAAATTTCAAAAAAATCTCGGCATCCAACTGAAAATAATGTTGGTAACATAAATAAATAGTAGGTTAAAAAACTATGGAACACGATATTATAGACAGCCAAACTGAAGAGAAGTAGAAATTAAAATGATAAAAGTGTGTTGATGATTACACATCATGAAATATACTGATTACGGGGAGGTTAGGTTAGGTTACAAGTAAGTCTATTCAGCCCTCCACTGCTACCCGTAAGGGTCTTTATTGTGGCCCCCACCAATTCATACTTCACCAAGTAGATCCAGCTTCTTAAAGAAGCTGATAAGTTTACTTGGTGAGTGATCTATCAGATCCGTCTCTTCACCTTCCATACCGGAGTGGCTAGGAATCCAGACCAGGAACAATTTGATGAGTCTTCCAATCGCGGAGTCTTTTCTAAACGAACAATTTGAAATTTTGGTCAAGGGACATATTTGAACTTTTGGTGGCAATTTCAATCGGAAAAAAAATTCGCTAATCCGGAATATTGTGATCAGGATGATGAAACTAATAGTTATTTATTATACAAGTGAAAAAAGTAGTAGATTCTAGCTCCAGGTTGTGTTGTCTTCCGACGCGTAGCGTCGTAGGCATCTTTATCATTCTTTTGAAGTAATCAAATATCTGATGTCACTTCTGTCAGTCTAATTCTGTGATTTGATTTCAAAAAATTGCGAATCAAGTGGTTGTTTAGTAATATACGTAACCGCGAAGTCGAATGTAAATTTAGATAAAAAACTTGCAGTTCTTCCTCGGAGGCGGTATTATTGACTCATTTTTCGGAACTATAGCACAACAAAAGCCATCAACAGTGTATATACAGGGTGTAAATTTTAAAACTTTCAATGCGAATATCTCGCGAAATAAAAAAGTTAGAAAAACGCCGCTTGGCAAAAATGCTAAAGAGTTAAGGGGAACTAGAACCACCATATTTCAGTGAAGGGATGAGTCACCCTGTCAGCGCAACACACCCCAACTTTGAAATGTCAAATGGCACTACCTCTTTTGTGATACCTCAAATGAACGGTCTCAGTCAGTAGTATTCACCTGTACAAGACTTTTTTTCCAGCCACTACAGGGTGTACGAAAAACATTAATTCGAGGGTCTGAATTTGAAAACTTTCAATGCGAATATCTCGCTAAGTAAAACAGTTAGGAAAACGCCGTTTGGCACAAATGCTACAGAGTTAGGGGGAACTAGAACCACCATACTTCAGTAAAAAGGGATGAGTCACCCCGTCGGCGCGACACACTCCATCTTTGAAATGTCAAATTGCACTACCTCTTTTCTGATACCTGAGATACCTCAAATGAACGGTCTCGGTCAGTAGTATTCACCTGTTCAAGACTTATTTTCCACCCACTACAGGGTGAACGGAAAACATAAAGTCGAATAAAATAAAATGCAGAATGCCGATATATTCCAAGAGATGTGTTCCAAAATGTTAGAATGGCATTTGAACATCGATTATACTATTGCTTACCTTACAACAGAATGGAATGCATATTGAACATCTGATCAAATAAAATATCCTTTTAACACAATTCATTTTATGAACTTTATATTTTTCGTACACCCTGTAGTGGGTGGAAAAAAAGTCTTGTACAGGTGAATACTACTGACTGAGACTGTTCATTTGAGGCATCACAAAAAAGGTAGTGCCATTTGACATTTCAAAGTTGGGGTGTGTCGCGCCGACGGGGTGACTCATCCCTTGACCGGAATATGGTGGTTCTAGTTCCCCTTAACTCTTTAGCATTTTTGCCAAACGGCGTTTTTCTAACTTTTTTCTTTCGCGAGATATTCGCATTGGAAGTTTTCAAATTTACACCCTGTATATGTGATATATATCCGGGAAAAAAGTACTCATTTTTTCCCACGGGAAAAAAGTAATTTATTAAAAGTGACATTTTATAACCTGCCAACAGAGATGGAATGCCAAACTTCTTCCCCGTCACAAAAAAAAATTATTATTAAACACGGCCGTGTCTCTGGATATAAAAAAACATTGTAAAGTTATTCGAAGGAATGAGAACGAACATTTGAAATTTTGGTGAAGGAACATATTTGAAGTTTCGGCGGTTACCATTTTATTCGAGAAAAAAATCGCTCATCCGGCAGATTCTGATCAGGATAATGGTACAGAACTGTTA